CAGGCCCACCGAAATCTCCACGCTATGTATCTCTTATTGATGCTGTTGCCTGCTTGGCAGTCAAAGGTCTTGAGTTCGAACCGCCGATCTGCAAACACCCTGATGCAGCCAGCTCTCCGGAAATTAAAATACGAACACCTTACCCAGGAGCCATCAGAGAGTTTTACATGGGTTTAGTTCCAATTCCCTTGATACTTGGCACAGTTGATTGGTTTATAACCTGGGTAGAGACAATCATATCTGGGAGACAGTGTCCATTCACAGGCACTCTTCCCCATATATACACCCCTTTCCCTTGTTTGGTTTAGGCAATAAATCCCTTTTTGCAGATATCAAATTCACCATGGAGTTCCCTCTTTGGTCCAAAATTCTGTACCGTTATGGACTTCACTCAGGTTACTAACCAACCACCTGGGTTCGATAAGGCTGGCTGCCCATGGCCAGTCTTCAGACCCTCCTGGACTCCCACAGACCCAACACTTAATTAGTGAGATTAAAGACCACTTCTTCCCCTAGGGTCAAGAATTGGTTCTCTATCTCCTGCCCTGTTCCCGACCAGCAGTACAGAAGCATGTAAATCACCGCCAGAGGTGTCATTCTCGGTTCTTTTGATCACATGCAGCTATGTTTCTATGGAGAGTTAGCTGGGGCTTTCCTTCCTTTTCCTGCAATGGAGAAGTCCAAATTTCTGGCACCTTGGAAATCTTAACTCAAGTATGATGAGTCCATCTGTGCTCAGCTGTTTCAACCGATGTTTCTGTGGTTTGCAATACCTGATATGGTCCACACCACCCTGCCACCAGCAGTACTTCTTTCCACTCTTTCACCAAGACCCAATCTCCTGGTTGGATATTATGGACTGTGAAAGCCAACGGCGAGGTTTGTGCCAGCTGGGCTTCCTGTCAGAGAGATTTTACAAGACAAAGTATTCTGGCCACATATTGCCTACTGCCCTAGGAATTGTCATAGCTTTTTCTTAGTCCTGAGTGACAGTACTTCTAAAATACCCTAAATTCCTTCTGGGTCAATACATCGTAAACCTCCAGTCAAGATGTGCCCCAAATATTTGACCCTTTTTTCCACCATTTATGCTTTCTTTTCAGACACTCCAAGCCCTTTTTGAGCACCCCCCCCGATTTTTTTTTTTTTTAATTGAGACACTTCACGGTGGCTTCCTCCACCCCCCTCTCCTGTTCCTCCTGCTCCTGTTAGGAACAAGTCATTCACGTACTCTGGTAATCTGACTACTGGGGATGAGGTAAATTCCTTCAATATCTTCTGCAAGGCTGGTCCAAATAGAACCAGTGCGATGCCTCAGTGCGGAGCCTCGGTGTATCATTGTGGGAGAACCCTTCATGACAATCGTTTTGTCTTTTATTTATTTATTTTTTTCTCCCTCCTCTTGTTCCCATTCAGAGGCTTGCTCCCAGCAGGGATGTGGATGGATATATAGATATAGCAATATGGCTTCATGCTTGACATAAGCTGACTTGGCCAAACTTAGGCTTAGGGCCTGGCGCTCGGAAGATCTCGCAATGTTATGGAAAGCAAAGGGTCAGCAGAAATTAAGGCGAGTCAGCTGTCTTACTCTGAAGAATCAGTACATAGCCATATAAGGTAACATTGTTGCTAATTGGTGGCAGAGCAAGCTTCCGCATTCGCAAGGAGTATAACTGTAGTGAGCAGCAAGCAATAAACGGCACTCCA